GCCAGGGTTTGGCACGCTTCGGTATTGGCAAGAGCAGCCTCCTGGACGGGCCAGCACTGTATATAGGACTGGCCCGCCCTGCAGGCAGCCAGGTACTTCCTAGGTACTACCCAGGCACTTCACGTGCAGTTCAGGAGGCAGGAGGTAGTCTTCAGGATTCGGCAGCAGCACTCTAGATGACCGCTACAGGAGTAGTAGCAGCGTTAGCAGTAGTCTTCAGCGCTGGGCACTAGTAGCGTTAGTTGTAGTCTTCAGCGTTGGGCGCCATAGCAGCTAGAGTAGTAGTAGACAGAGAGAGATTGGGCGGAGGCCAGAGGCACTTACCAGCAGCGCCATTGCTCCAGCTTCGCCTTCAAGGTACCTGCAGCACAGCGCCATCTTCACAGGTTAGTACCTGGCAAATGAGAGAGAGAGAGTTCTTCTTCTTCCTCTTCTCAGTCCACCCTCTCGCTATCTGACTTCACTGCATCAGCAGACTACGAGAGAGAGAGAGAGAGAGAGAGAGAGAGAGAGAGAGAGAGAGAGAGAGAGCTTGGTGACATTTGGATCCAGACTCGACATTGGACTTCAGACATTTTGAGGAGGGATTATTTGGGACTTGTAACGAGACTTGGTGACTTTCCCATCTCCCCGTTCCTCGTCTTCGTCCGATCCCCTCCTCTTCATCTGTGCATGTCTGGACCTGGCGCCTCCTTCCTGTGTATAGCGCCAGGCCCCATCACACCTTGTGACGAGCATGATGTATGTTTGGTCTGCGTTGAAACATTGAGTGGGCTAGTGCTTAGTATTCTAGCATTCTGCTTCGCTATCTTGTACTACGTGAAAGAGGTCAGTCCCAGTCAGGTCAGGACTTGTATCTAAATCTTCCACTGTGCTATAAAACACCATTTTGTATGTATCGGAATGCACATTGCTTGTTGAGATTCCACTTGCACAGCATTGTCCATTCAGTCGTTTATCACATTGCGGATCCTCGGATTATATGTACATCACCCAACTGGGCATGTAACAGTTGGTATCGGAACACCGCACGTGAACCAGGACAACCTGATCTGACAAGTGTGCAGGGACTAGGTAGCTGATTAGTCTTGATTGATTGATTAGAGCACGCTAGTTAGCCCCCAAAATCACGATTTTGACGTCACTGCCGAAAGTAGATTTTTTTTTTTTTTTTCTTTTCTTGGATTTCGTTTTCTCGCTATTTCTGTTGTGGAAAATCGCAATAGCGCAACCTCTGAAATTTTCGTTTTCGTTTTTTTTCTGAAAATCCGAAATTTCGTTGTTGGGAATCCGGAATATTTTTTTCTCGAAAATTTCGATCTCCTTTCGCAATTTCCTGTTATTTGGAAATTCGGGATTTTTTTTCTGAAATTCGTTTTTCTGAAAACGGTACGGAAAATCCCTCTTGCAGTACCATTTTCCAAGCTGCAAATACTCTCATCTGAGTAAGTCCGAATACTGGTTATTTTTTTCAGAATTTTTTTATTCGCAGTTTATGATTTTCACTACCTGATAATCATTGGCAGTCTGGAGTTCGATTTTTTTTTCTCATTGATACTTTCGCACTTCAAGGGAGGATGGGAGACCTACTGAACTTGCAAAACTCGGGATTTTTATTTTTTTGAAAATTGTTTTTGCAAAGTTCAAACTTTTCTTTTTTTGACTAGTGGCTCCTTATCTGGGCGAGTTATCCCCACCCACCCCTCCCCACCTATGTTATTGCCACCTCTGGTCTTACCTTCTCTATCTGTCTCCGGGTACCCCCTGCGGCGGTATTGGTGAGTTGCCACGTTAGCAGACCACGCCAGCAGGCCACGTCAACAGGCCACGTCAACAGGACACATCAGCAGCCACGTCAGCAGCAGGGAGTGCCACGTCAGCATGCCCCAGCCTGATCTACGCTTACTCGCTCAAAAACAGCCGTCATGGACCAAATGTCCGGGGAAACGGTCGAGGCCTATCAGGCCCGGATCCTGCTTCTGATTACCGAAGTTGAGCAACGGTCGGATGCAATAGCAGCCGCAACAAAGAAGAAGGCAGAGGACGCCGAGAAGGCACGTCTGCTGGCAATTGAACAGCAGCGCCAGCAAGACGAGGCAGCAGCAAAGCCTCGAGCGAACTGGCGGGCCGAGGCAGCAGCAACGCCGCAAGAAGATATTCAGCGCAGCGCGAGCTTTGCTCACATTGGCAGCGGACTGGCGGGCCGAGGCCGGGAATGGCAATCTGGAAGAGAGTGGAAACAAGATCGCTCTCCTCCTTGACCATCTCACGGACCTCCTGGCCACGTGCATTGCAAAACAAGAGGACATTCACAACCTCGACGACGCGGTTCAGACGCACAATCAGGTGTTTGACCAACTCACTAGCCGCCTCCAGCAGCTGGAACGAAATGTCGCCGCCCCTGTTGCCAACTCTTCCAACACCTCTGTTCGCCTCGAGGCATTGGAGATTGACGTCGGATCCCTCAAGGACGGCGTGCAGCTACAGCAAACCGCAACGCAACAGTTGGAGCAGCAGATTTGTACTGCCGCCAACCACTCGAGCTCGGAACCGCCCTAGACAACTCCAAAGTTCGATGGGCAAGAAATCTTCTGCGACTCGCCGAAGACAGACCCGATTTCATGGTTCCGCAAGTTCGAGCTCACATTGCAGCTATACTACATCAAAAACAAGCACCACGGGTACTTATACTCCCGGTCGGGGGGCGCGTGCCAAACATGGTTGGACAATCTCTTGTCCAAGTGCGGAGTTGTAGCTGTCGACTTGCATACCAAGATCAGTTGGGATAATCTAAGGGCGGCGTGGCATAAGCGGTTCCAAGTAGAGCCGCCAAAGATCAAGACAATGGACAACCTCATGGTCTTCGAACAAGGCATATTGTCGAGTGTTGATTGGATTGCCGAGTACCAACGCTTGACATCCGTCCCAGACACTCAAATGGGCTTCAAAGCCATCAAACACTACTTCATCTCGAGGTCGTGTTCAGTGTTGGGCAATGCCTTGACTCACGTCGAGGACCCCCTGACGGGACCGGCAGAACTCTTCGACAAGGCCGCGCAAATTATTGTCACGAACAAGGAGGCCAAGAATCTCCAGCGTTCGTCTGCACCACGCTTGAGTAGAGATCGACATCGGTCGAAAGTGGTTGTGGTCGTGGCGGCAACGCCAAACGACCAAACTAGCGAGCCCGTGTCTGCCAATGAAGGGGACAGACTCACAGCCGCCCGGGAAGATGGTCGCCCCGACAAAGGCCGAGGACGAGGCAAAGTGAAGATAAACACCGCATCTAGCCTCGGGCCCGGTGCAGCAGCTCCAGCCCCACGGTCCTATTACGGTCTCTCGGAGCAAGCATTGAAGGCACGCACGAGATTCCTCTATTGTCTGTGGTGTAATAACGATCTCCACGCCACACTGGCCTGCCAGTCGAAAGGCAAGGGCAAATCAGGAAACTGAGCACCGCCGGGAGTGACTCGACGACACTCTCGACGCCTTTGGAACCGGTCACTTCGCGGGTGACCGCCCTTCATTCTGAGGCACATGCGGAAGTTGATAGTCCTCCTCTTCTTTATTCTTTTGAGGACTATGTTGCCCGGCTCATTCCTACGCTCGGTACTCATGCTCAAGGATAAGACGTTTGTGCGGCATCTTCTCCGTCCGTCCACGGCAACTTATCGTCTTCAAGTGGTTCTTCACGGGATCTCCGTCCGTCCACGGCAACTTATCACTTCAAGTGGTTCTTCACGGGATTCGGCGCGTGAGTTCAACATAGAGGTGTTGGACCCTCTCATGTCCGAGGATTTCGCATGACTTCCTCTCCCGGCCACAGGCCACTTGTCGGCACCACAATGCGCAGCACTATGTGCTCATCTTCACACGTACTTATCCTTCTATGCACCACCAACTTCTCCAACGGATGACAAAGTCGTGGTGGGGGACATCCTTGCATATGTTACCAAGGTGGCCCGCGAGTTTTGCAATCAGCGGTACGACGACAACAACGCACCGCTCCTCTATGTCCGCATCCAAGTTGGGCAACCGTCCTGCAGCGCTTTGCTGGATAGTGGCGCGTCTCACAATTTTTTGAGTCAAATTTATGCAAAAGGCTGGCCTTGGTGCACGAGTTCGAAGGAAGGCAAACCCGACGGCGATCAAGTTGGCCGACGGAAGGACGCAGCAACTTATCGACAGCTACATCGAGGTCGTACCGGTGTATTTTGCACCTCATGCATGCGAACCGGTGACATTCGACATTTTGGACACAGACTTCGACATTATTCTGGGAATGCCTTGGCTTGCAAATGCGGATCATACGGTCAGCTTCCACCGGCGGACTCTTACCGTTTGCGACGCCTTCTACGCCGAAGTGTCGTGTACTATTCCTCTTTCGCACCCTTCGATTCGGTGCCAAGTGGTGAAGGCTAAGTCATTTTGGGCTACTTGTGCTTGCGAGCAGCCGGACAAAATCGGCCTATGTTTCCTACAGACCGTCGCGGTAGTCGACTCTTCACCCACAGACTTGTCTTCAGACCCCCGTGTGGTGCGGTTGCTTGATGAGTTCGCCGACATCTTCGAGTCACCTACCAGTATGGTGCCGGATTGGCCGATCTCTCACGAGATCATTCTTGAGGTCGGTGTCGTGCCGCCGAAAGGTTGCATTTATCGCATGAGCGAGGAGGAGCTTACGGTCCTCCGCGCACAACTCAATGATTTGTTGGACAAGGGCTGGATCCGCCCTAATAGCTCTTCATACGGAGCGCCAGTTCTCTCCGTACGGAAGAAGAACAAAGATGTACGATTCTGCATCGACTACCGCAAGTTCAACGCGCAAACCGTCAAGAATGCAAGGCCTCTTCCTCGCATCAACGATCTTCTTGAGCGATTGGGCGGCGCGAGTAATTTTCAAAGTTGGATTTGAAGTCGGGATAGCATCAAATCTCGATCCGACCGAACGATCGTTACAAATCTGCGTTCAAGACGCGGTATGGGCATTTTGAGTGGGTGGTCATACCTTTTGACCTCACCAACGCCCTGGGGACCAAGCGGCAATGACCAATGAGTTCCGTGCAATGTTGGACCGGTTTGTGCTGGTCTACTTAGACGATATTCTCGTCTATAGCCGGTCATTGGAGGATTATCTTGAGCACCTTCGACGAGTGTTGGAGATGCTCCGCGCCGCCAAGTACAAGGCCAACTGCGACAAGTGCGAATTTGTCTGGCAAGAGCTGGAATACTTGGGCCATTCTATCACACCGGAGGGCATCAGTCCACTATCGGACAAGATTCAAGCCATCCAAGAGTGGTCGGAGCCACGGAACGACACGGATGTCCGTTCATTCCTTGGTCTCGCCGGCTACTGCCATCGTTTTATCAAGGGCTACTCGAAGATCGCGGCCCACTTGACCACGCTTCAATGCGAGGATCAACCGTTTGACTTCAAAGAGGATGCGTGGGAATAATTTTTGGCTCTCAAAGCCGCGCTATTATCTGTCGAGGTCCTGCACATATACGACCCGCTTTTGCCTACGCGTGTCACAACGGATGCGTCTGGCTATGGCATTGGTGCCGTCCTCGAGCAACACGATGACGTGGACTGACACTCGGTCGAGTATGTTAGCAAGAAAGTGTCGCCGTGCACTCCAATGACGATGCACGCAAGAAGGAACTCCTCACCTTCGTCCATGCGCTCAAGCGGTGGCGGCACTTCCTCCTTGGTCGAAGCCAATTCCGATGGGTAACGAACAACAATCCGTTGGTCTTTTACAAGACCCAAGACACCGTCAACAACACCATCGCTCGATGGATGGCTTTCATCGACCAGTTCAACTTCTTTCCCGATCACATTCCGGGGAAGTCGAACCGTTTTGCGGATGCTCTTCCACGGCGTCCGGATCATTGTATTGCGGTCTATTCAACCTTCGAGATCGACAACGACCTATGGGACAGCTTCATCCGCGGCTACCAAGCCGACCCCGAGTACGGGAATTGCTCCTCTCCTAATTCGACGCCTTCTCACTACCGGATCCAAAAGGGGTACTTGCTTGTCCACACACGGGGGAAGGACCTTCTTTGCGTACCGAGTGACCCTCACTTGCATACACAGCTTCTTGGCGAGTTCCACGATGCTCCCGCCACCAGACACTTTGGAGTCAATCGCACAATTGGCCGACTTCGCGAGCGATTTTGGTGGCCCGGCCTTCTCAGCGACGTCACCCGCTATTGCGAGTTATGTGAGGTTTGCCAACGCTGCAGATCTCGCAACCATCGTCCATACGGTGAGTTGCGACCATTACCGGTCCTCCGTGCACAGGGAAGCGATTAACATGGACATTACCGGCCCGTTTTCCAAGCACAAGACCGGCGTGGATAGGATTCTCACGGTGGTCGCCCGACTCACCAAGTTCACCATGTTTTTGTGTCGCCGCTATCATGCCAAGGCACCGGAGTTGGCCGAGCTTCTTTACGCCGGTTGGATTCGAACCAAGGGTTACCCCAAGGAAATCGTATGCGACCACGACACTCGGTTCATGTCCGATTTTTGGTTGGCATTCATCAAACGATGGGGGTCATCTCTCAAACCAAGTTCGGCTCGCCACCCCCAAACCGATGGCCGAACGGAGAGGGCGCATCAGACCGCACAGGTTCTCCTTCGCACTCTCATCCGCCCCGACCTGAAGGATTGGGTTGAGCGGCTGCCGGATGTCGAGTTGGCCTACAACTCGTCCATCCACCTGGCTATCAGGATGTCGCCCTTCGAATTCGAGCACGGCTCGCCGGTCACTTCGCCGTTGGACACAATCATTCCACGAACGGCCGAGAGCGACGACCATCTTCTTTTCTTGCGTCGGATGCAAGAGTTGCTTGTCAAGGCACGCGAACAGATGGCCAAGATGCAGCAGCGCATGAGCCAACAGGCCAATCGCCAGCGTCATCCTTGCCCATTCCGCGCCGGCGATCTCGTTTGGGTTTCCGCCGCGGAATTCAGCCTTGAACAAGATATCTCTCGCAAGCTCCTCCCGAAATGGATGGGGCCCTGGCCGATCGTGGCACCCGCTGGGGATACACCCGAGGGACCTTCCTTCACTATTTAGGTGCCCGCCCACTTGCCCGTCTACCCAGTCTTTCATTGCTCCAAGTTGGCTCTTTACACGTCAGCGGAACATGACGATTTTTTCGCGCGACGTTCGCAACACCCGCCCTCTTTGGACGGTTTTCAGGAGGTCGGCAACATCATCTCCCAACGATGCTACGGCAACAGGCCAACCGAGTACTTGGTACATTTTGTGTACTGCACTCACAAAGTTGACCGTTGGTTGACCCGTGCGGAACTCCAAGCAACAGCTCCGGATGTTCTCGCACGCTACGAACGCAAAATGCAAGGCAAGCCGGTATCTTCAGCTCCACGTCGCACCCGCGTCCAGATTCCACCTTCAGATCGTCAGCTTCGCCCTCGACCCGGCTTGACTTCATAAGGAGGGGGGGGTGTTACATGCTGCGCCTGCAACAGGCTGCACAGGCCATTCCCAGGCCCATGACATTTTCAGGCCAAAAGCCTGAAAACAAGGGCCTATAAGCCCTATGTCGTTTCAGCCTGAAAGCCTGAAAACAAGGGCGTACAGGCCCTGTGTCGTTTCAGGCTAAATCAGGGTCTTTCCGGCCCTGAGTGTGTGTACAGGCCCTGTGTCGTTTCAGGCTAAATCAGGGCCTTTCYGGCCCTGAGTGTTTTCAGCCTGAAACTGGGGGCCATTTCGAGCCCTCATCGGTTCGACCCGCCCTGAAACTCAGGCAACAAACCAAGGTTTTAGCACAGGCCATTTCGGGCCTGTTTTCAAGACAACCCCTGGTTGAGCTTCAACGCCAGGGTTTGGCACGTTTTGGCATTGGCGAGAGCAGCCTCCTGGACGAGGCAGCACTATACAGGACTGGCCCGCCCTGCAGGCAGGCAGGTAGTTCCTAGGTACTTCCTAGGCACTTCACGTGCAGTTCAGGAGGCCGGAGGTAGTCTTCAGGATTCGGCAGCAGCACTCTGGAGGAGCGCTGTTGGAGTAGTAGCAGCGTTAGCAGTAGTCCTCAGCCCTCGGTGCTGGTAGCGTTAGCTGCCGTCTTCAGCGTTGGGTGCCATAGCAGCTAGAGTAGTAGTAGAGAGAGAGAGATTGGGCGGAGGCCAGAGGGACTTACCTGCAGCGCCATTGCTCCAGCTTCGTCTTCGAGGTACCTGCAGCACAGCGCCATCTTCACAGGTTAGTACCTGGCATATGAGAGAGAGAGAGAGTTCTTCTTCTTCCTCTTCTCAGTCCACCATCTCCTTCTCACCCTCTCGCTATTTGACTTCACTGCATCAGCAGAGTACAAGAGGGAGAGAGGGAGAGAGAGAGCTTGGTGAGATTTGGATCCAGACTCATTGGACTTCAGACATTTTGAAGAGGGATTATTTGGGACTTGTAACGAGACTTGGTATTGACGGCTTTCCCATCTCCCCCTTCCTCTTCTTCGTCTGATCCCCTCCTCTTCGTCTGTGTATGTCTGGACCTGGCGCCTCCTTCCTGTGTATAGCGCCAGACCCCATCACACCTTGTGATGAGCATGATGTATGTTTGGTCTGTGTTGAAACATTGAGTGGGCTAGTCCTTAGTATTCTAGCATTCTGCTTCATTATCTTGTACTACGTGAAAGAGGTCAGTCCCAGTCAGGTCAGGACTTGTATCTAAATCTTCCACTGCGCTATAAAACACCATTTTGTATGTATCGGAATGCACAATGCTTGTTGAGATTCCACTTGCACTGCATTGTCCATTCAGTCCTTTTTATCACATCCTCGGTTTATATGTATATTGCCCAACTGGGCATGTAACACCCTGGCACCTGGTATATCAGTCGGCCACTGGAAAATGTACCTGAGAGTTTAGCAACCCAAGAAGATTGTGGGAAAAGCAGAAAATAATTGCAAAACCGAGAGACATGGGAGAAGTGGGGGACAAAACAAAAAGGTCTCCTCAAGCAAAGCCCAGGCCCTCTTCCTATGGGGTCAAACGTTCCCACTACCTAATATCGACCAGCACACAGACAAACCCACACACATTCCTGCTTTTCTTTTTTTTGTCCTTTTTTTGAAACACAATGACATCACCAGCAAGCATGTTTGTACATCCAAAGAAAGGGGGGGGATCAGACCAGGGAAGGGGAACGGCCTAACCCTTGAGGCACTAGTCGCCTAGCAAGGGGGAAACTGCAACAAGGGGGTAGGTCCCACCCCCTCAAGCCGTGGCTTTCTCCAAGGGCCACCCTGCTGGCTTGGATGCTTACCAGTAGCACCCAGACACACAGCAGAACGGTCCTCAGGGAGGCGGGTACGGGAAGGGGACTTCCCTCCAGTTCCTCGGGCCTCCTATCAAGACCCGCACGTTACGAGTTCCGCACTTTCCATTTTAATCTACCTTATCCTGCTCTCATCCTGCCCATCGTGTCCATCTTGTCATGTTTAAACCACCTATGACAGCACTCTGCATTCCTCCTGTCCCTCGTACCTTTTGTCTTGGCTAACTCCGCATCTCTTACTGTCTCTTACTATCTCTTACTATCTCTTACTATCTCTCTAAGTCCCTTGCTCCCTAAGTCCTATTTCCACAATACCAAAAGTCCTTGTACAGTCTTATAGGGTTCAGCATCATTATCCTAAGTGTAAATTCTAACCCATATATCTTTTAATACTCCTGTACTCGTTCTTAAATTCTCAATACTTTTGTAAATCTTTGTAAACATTTCTAATGCTTTCCCTGGTTTTCACCCTTCTCCCCCCCTCCCCCTCCCCATCCGCTCTGCCCTACCCCTTTTCCCTTACCCCTAGTCAACATCTTCTAATTCCCTCCCCCTAATATTGTACAGCTACCAACCAGCTATGTAATTCTGCATAATACCCACCCCCCTCCCCCCTAACTATTTTTTTTTTGTTTTTTGAAGCCCAGGTTGTTGTAGAGGCCAGGTTTCAGACACACGATGGTCGCTGCATCAGACAGCCATTGGTTGTCCTGACAATTATTCCATTTGTGAGACCGCCTCCCAACCCATCCTCTCATCATTTCTCCCAGCGCACCCCCTATTCCTACTATCCTACCTCAGTGTTAATCACCTCGGACTATTACCTCATTATCTCAGAACATGACTTGGACCGAATAACAGCTACCAGCACTAGGGCTGGGCAAGCTCGACGGACCAAGCCAGACTGGCCCAGCTTACCCAAGGCTTAGGCGGATCACGGACAAGCATGGAGCGGCTATTAACCTCTTCCCAGCCCTAGCTGAAGCACAGACGAGTGTGCCTTGTCACCCGGGAACTTTGGATGCTAGGCACAAACAGTATCCTATCAGCCCCACAATTACTACCCAGATTCCTACCGAGGCACCAGAGTTAGGCAGACTCAACGGACAAGCCCTGACTGGTCCAGCTTGCCAATGGCTAGGCAGATCACGGACAAGCCTGGAGCAGGTGTTAAACCCCTGCCCAACCCTGGTTACTGAACCTTATCTGAAAGCCCCTGACACCCCT